ATTTAAAATTACATCCAAATTTGGCCATAGTGCGCATACGAGCGAAAAGTGACGTTATTTTTAAGAGGACGGGTTGAACATACAGTCAAACAAAGAAATCACGGGCAGGAATGCATGTCTCAGAGACAGGAACATACTTTTCAGGGAACATATCCCGAGGATACCTGTTCTTATAGCCCTCCCAAATCAAATACTCCATGTTGGAAGGGATACGATCCCCCTTCCACCATGGGGTCTGCATAAACTCAGGAATCACCAAATCAGGCAGAAATGGTCACTCCCGAAGCTCCCCGACACAAGGCTCATAACGAGGCAGAAGAGCACGAAACACCCTTTCTGAGAAAGTAGAAGATACTGCAGAAGCGTACATAGGCCGCCAAGACATTCACGCCGCCGGCTGCACAAAAGAAGGTGATGGCTGATGAGACGGTAACACCTCCACCGATACCACAGGAGATACAGAAGAGACAGCTGGAGACGGAAGAGGCGACGAGAACGCTGCTGACGAAACAAGAAATGAGGAAGGGGGCACGGACCCCCCAGAGTGAGCAGCCTTTTTCAATACTACCACCAGATCACCACGCTCACCACGAACCTCAGTAGTGGGAACCACCCCCACGAAGAACCGGAACCATCCAATGAAGGCGACGCATCCGAATCAGGATCTGCAGACACCACACCAGAAGGGGAGGCCGAAACACTGGCACCAGCATCCGCAGGCACATGCACCTCTGCCACCACCATAGATTGCAACGCTACCGGAGCCACCCCGCCGTACCTGGAAGAAACACAATCGTCGAAATTGCCAACGTCAGCCCATGCAGAAGAAGAACGCTGGGAACGCTTAGGCTGTGGCCGCACAGCATCAAATCCGGAGGCTGACTCAGAGACACGCGCAACACAAGCTGGGCGAACCGACGCTCGTCGTAGAATGGCAGCATCCTCAACCACATGGGGTACCAGGCCAGGCACAGGAGGAGGCGCCGTATGCATCCCAGTACTCAGCACAGCCAGGACAGACGGCGAGGGTGCAGGGACAGGGACAGACGCAGCAGATGAAGAACTTGAAGACGGGGGAACCGAACATAAGGCAATCAGAAGAACCACAGGGACACCAGCCGGAGCAGGACGATCACCAGGCGTCGACACAACCTCCGGAGGAGAGGCGACAACAACAGGAGGCACAACAGTCGACACAGGGGGCACAGCTGCGGCCGAAGAGATGTCCACATCCACACCCACCGAAGCCTCCTCCACAGGAAGCAGTGGGAAATCTCTCCACTGAAGAGGTTCACGGGCGCAACTGCAGGCGCAGAACATCCAGCAGCCTGATAGCCCAAAAGGCCACAACGATAACACGTCCAAGGCTGGCGGGAGTAAAACACCCGAACGTGGTATCCCATGAGTTTCACAGAGGATGGAATGTCTGCCCAGAGCCGCATGCCCTGGGTGCGAATCGCGGTGTGATTCCTTCCTGAGTTTCGGACAAGGAATTCGGCAGTCATACTATAGAATTGATCCTATGAAGTATGATAGGTCCACACACCCTTGAGAGGACTCGAGGATATCATGTGCAATCACACACTAACAACGGTGCCAAACTGGTCGAAGACCCTCCGGAACTCCAAGGGTGCCCCATGAACACTGACATAAGTGAGGGCACCACACCGATCAGAGGCGGTCACAGTGCCCGCATCATCCGGCAGGGGTAAGGTCCGCCCTTCGTAGCGACGGAGAAATTCCCGAAATGCCAGCTCCTCCATAAACTTCACAATCCCCCGACGTGCCGTCACCAACTCGTCGCCATAAATATCCATCACAGGGACTTGAAGCCTATCACACAACACCAGCGGTATCTCTGGGTACCCAGCGCGTCCAGAAAACTCGAGGCCCACAGACTGAGCCCGCACTACAGGGGAAAGCAGGACCCCCATCTTGAACTCCACGTCAGCACTGACCAGGAGGGCAGAGACACATGCCCCCAACCGGCCAAACTGGCAAACAACCACCAACTGCCAGAGAGGTCAGGCAACATGTCCACACTCCACAGCAGCTAGCAGTCAACTCCACTGGGTTGCAAATTGTTGTTGTGCCGTGATTATTAATAGTGTTATTAGATCACCGTGGGTGTTATTGCTGTAGTTCAGTGAATTGTTGGGCCACGTTCTAATGGTTTAGAGCACCGAGTTATTTACAGGTGTTCTATAGTAATTATCTGTTGCAAACGGCTTGTAATTGTGTTAAATCATCGAGTGTTGTTTTATTGTGGTGGGTGAACTCGTCATTGGGACGAGTATTTGGTGTTATTATTCTGCATATTTGGTTGTCATCGAAGTCCCGTATTCAGTGAACGTTGATTGAGAGGGCAATTAATGTAATTTAAGCAAGGAAACACCCATTGATTATAGAGGAATTGTTCATAAGAAAATTTGAGTTAACATAAGATACATTTGGTTTAATTATTTTCCAAGGAACAGCTGTTTGGTCGGTCAGGGAGCCTAGCCAAGCAGCCACTTTAGGCAAAGTCAGACAGGTTGTAGGAATTCCGGGAGGGCTGAGGTCTTGCATTTAAGTACTGTCTGTTGCATATTATCTGTCAGTTGGACAGGTAATTAAGGGTTCATGGAAGTCAAGGTAGTTAACTCCGATCAGGGTTGATCGACTCACTTGAAGGCTACATTGTTGCATTAATGTGTCGTCGGTTATTAATATCTGTCAGTTGGACAGGTAATTTGATTGACTCTTGGGAGAGTAAAGTCATTGTTAAGTAACGTAGATGTGGTGATTAGTTATCAGTCCGTGGGATAGTGAACTAGTCACCTTAGTTCATTGGGGAATGGAAGACCTCAGAGGAATTCATTTCATTGAGGTTATATACTGTTGAGCTAATGTGAAAGGTAACGCAGTTGTGTATGATTAATTATTGATCTTCGAGATAGTAATTAATTGCTCAGGATAGTCAAGGGTGATTACCGTCTTTTTAGCACTTTGGACATAGAAATTTTAGTAAACTATCGAGTGGGCGATGGTAACCGATAACGTAACTCTCGTTGGGATTAATCAGCTGTCCGTAGTACAGGGATTAATGGGGATTACTCACTGAACGCTTGACGCGTCACGTGTTTGTGTGATTCCGAGTTATGAGTGACAGTTGTACAGTTTGACTTCTCTGTGGGAGACAAGATTAAGTTAAAGTAAGTGTTATCTTAATATTAACATAATCAATTAGTCATTAATTGTTGATCGCCCGAGGGATGAAGTGTTAAAATGTAGTGTTAAAATGTTAATTAACTTACGTTAATTAACACTTAAGTGCTTAAGTGTTAATTAACGCAAGTGATAAAGTGTCAGTAGTGAAGTGTTAATTTAGAATTTAATTAAGGAGGGTTGCTGGAGTTGCCAGTAAACCCATTTGTCATTGTAATGTCCTTGATACTTTGATTGCATTGCATCTGCTACTGCAGGGGAGGGCTGCAAGGAGCGTAAAATAACTGGAGGTGTGTCTCTTAACCTACCTCGTTGTTGTTGCATTAGTGATTATAGAGTTAATATGTTTTGCTTGATTGATTCCTCTGTGAACACTCAGTATGTTCAAGTTAGTTCATTTATGCAGCACAACGTGATTGCAGGAAGGATCCTATAGTCATACTCGTCGCTGGAGTCTAGCTTTCGTAAAGGTGTCACATGCAGGATTTCGAGTAACGTCAGTGATATATTTCGTTGTTGTAGTAGCTAGTACTTTGTTGAATAAACTGTGTTGTTATGTTGAACGCTGTCTTTCCTTACACCCCTACACTTTATTAATTTACATTTGTTCTGCCATGTTGCCTGAAATTATTATTGCTATTTATTTGAGACTGCTTTATGAGATTTGGGCTGAATTCATAGCACCACAGAAGAAAACTAATACCTTGTGAGAACCTGGAATCTACTAGTTAGATTCGCTCCGGCGATTTGCGAAGGTCGACAACTCAGTGAAAGGGATCTCAAAATTTTGAGGTCTCGGCGTTTGCTGGCGCATAGTAATTTTTGTTATGGTCTCTAGAGTGGTGAATGACCTGCTTACTACATTTAGCGTGTTAGCTAAGCAGATCCTTCCTCAGGAAGCCCACCTAGACTTTCAGTTTAAAGTTTACGGATGTAATACAAGAATAATCCTGACGAAAATGCTCACAGTGGTGATATTAAGATGTTCTGTGGCAGTGGTGATATCAAGATGCTCTGTGTCAGTGGTGATATCAAGATGTTCTGTGTTAATGGTGATATCAAGATATTATGTTGCAGTGGTGATATTAAGATGTTATGTGGCAGTGGTGACATCATGATGATCTGTGTCAATGGTAATATCAAGATATTATGTTGCAGTGGTGATATCAAGATGTTCTGTGACAGTGGTGGCATGAACATACTATACTATACTTAATTGTCAGTAATGTTTGCAGTGACTGTTACAGTGGTGGCTTGAACATACTATACATACTTGTCTGTAATGTTTGCAGTGACTGTTACAGTGGTGGCATTAACGTAGAAAACAGTGATGTCCTGGGCCTCAGTGGGATGCATGGGTCTTGTTCTGATCTGCAACACATCCACCACACAGTAAATACCACGAGAAAACTCTGGTCAATATGGCTATGCAATACGTCCTTGATTTATATTTTGTATGTAATTTGATGTGTCGCCCTGTATAAAGTTTTCGTTATGTATCTCTACTTGTATTTGATTCTCATTTGCTGACCTAAAATACAGTTGTTTGAGTGTGTTTGGGTTTAATTTCCAATGCTCTGACCGACTGTTGTTATACACTGTATAAGTTCATATTCTTCTAAACTACATTATATTGTTTTTACAAGCTTAAAGAATTGTAAGAATTGTTAAGACATTTCTCGCGTGTAACTGTTTTGCTAACGTTTTATTTTTGTCATAAATACTCAAGAAAGTTTATAAGTATCTTAAACTGGCTGTTGTGATGAAAGCTTTGGATAGACAAACTAACAGAATTATTTGCTACCAGAGATCTGGACAAAGGTGGAGGGGGAAGGTTCTGTGGGAATAAAGAAATAGAAAATCAAGAATTAAAGCAGTAGAAGAGAATCATCTGTGAAGCAGGTGAGGTGTCTGAAGAACAGTGAGGAAAGTAAATGCCACTGGTAAATGTAGAGGATAGAGGTCAATAGACCGTCAAACGTGAGAGAGAGAGAATACTAGGGTTTAGTCCAACCTGTCCTCACATAAAAAACGTCGCTTCTCACACATATGCGAAATAAAAGGCCAAATATTGTAGTACTAGAAACTGGAAGCCGCTCGTGAAACTCCTGTACTGTCCCGTTTTCTGTTTTGGGGTCCTCTGATAGGTTTTTTCCCTCTGGTAGTAGGGACAACTTTAAATTGACCGTTTTCTGGACGTTAGGAAACCTTATGAGGAAGGGCGAAGCGTGTATTGTGACAAAGTTTAGAAGTACATAGAGGAAAGGATCACCACGAAGAGGGATATAACACATAATATCCATCAACTATGAGCTAGGCTTACTTAATACAACGCCATAGTGAAGTTCCGGACCTACTGCTCCAGGAGTGTGTTAAATAGTCTATATAAATAAAAATGTAAATGTTCGTTTGTTCAAAATCGCTAATCACCGAAAATTCTTCACCAATTGATTTGGAATTTTCACAACGTTCCATTCGTATCTGAGTGGGTTTATATATACATACTATATAGATGTCACGTCTGTGACGGGAAAAAAACTTGTTTTTTGAAAAACTGTTTTTAATATGTTTTTCATATAAGGGAAATCTTCGAAACCTCTTTACGGATTGCTTGGAATTTTCGACAAAACGTTACATTCGAATAGGCATGTGCTTTTATATAACTATTATATTCATGCCTCACCTGTGACAGGAAAAAACATTTTTTTTTTTTAAACAGCATCATCTGTTGGACGTATGAACAACACACTCTGTAATCTCCGAAAGATCTTCACTGATTGCTTTGAAATTTTGACACAACGTTCCATTCGAATATGTGCATATTTTTATATACCTGCTATATAGATGCCACACCTATAACAGGTGAAAACATGCTTATTTAAAAAAAAACAGCGCCATCTGTTGCAAGTAATAGCAACACACGCTATACTGAATATGTTACGATTCCATTTCAATGTTTCCGATTGCATTGATATATTGAATTTTCATAGATTCTGATTTATTTTTATTTTAATTTAATTATTTTGTGTGACATTGTGTTGAAATTGAGCTGGGTTGTTTACCATACCATTCATTTCGTAAGTATAAGTGAAGATGTCACACCTGTGACAGGTAAAAACAATCTTTTTTTTAAGAAATAGCACCATCTGTTGTACATAAGAACAACACACATGATACTAAATATGTTATGATTCCATTTACATTTTTCCGATTTCATTTATAAATTGAATTTTCATAGATTTCAATTTATTTTCATTTTGATTTAATTATTTTTTGTTATTGCGTTGGAATTTAGCTGTGTTGTTTTACCCTACCGTTCATTTCATAAGTATAGTATATTTTTTTAGTTTTTCATTGTTTTTCATTTCGTTTCTTTAATTGTTTTTTCTTATATTTCAGTCATGGGAACATCAGATCATTTGATGTTCCCAATTTTCTGATGGGAACATCAGATCATTTGGGAATGCATTACACAAGGAAGTGGGGAATGGTTGGGAGGACGAGGGGACGGGAGTGGGGGATGGTGGGGAAGACGAGGGGACGGGGGAGTGGGGAAGGATAAGAGAACGGAAGTGGGGGATGGTGAGGAGGATGAGGGGACAGTTAGATAGGTGGGGACGAGGGGACAGGGGAATGGAGAACGGTGGGGAGGACAACGGGAGTGGGGGATGGAGGGGAGGACGAGGGGACGGGGGGAGGGGGAAATGGTAGGGAGGACGAGGGAACTGGGGAGTAGGAGATGGTGGGGGGAGGACGAGGGGATGGTGCAGTGGGGAATGGTTAGGAGGACGAGGGGACGGTGGAGTGGAGGATGGTGGAGAGGACAAAAGGTACAGGGGAGGGGGAGGAATGGTTGGGAGGACGAGGGGACAGGGGTGGGGGGGGGGGGGAAGGAATGGTGGTGAGGACTGGGAGACTGGGGAAGGTTGCTGTGGCTCAACAATGCACACGCGTTGCTGAGCCACAGCAACGCGTGGCTGGGTATAGCTAGTATATATATATATATATATATATATATATATATATATATATATATATATATATATATATATATATATATATATATATATATATATATATATATATATATATATGCGAACAAGCCTGAATGGTCCCCAGGACATATGCAACTGATATATATATATATATATATATATATATATATATATATATATATATATATATATATATATATATATATATATATATATATATATATATATCATAGGCCTCTCTTTTATTCCTTTTGATATGACTGTAATATAATGTTTAACTAATGAGCTATTTAAATTATAATTGTAGGCAAACATCTCTAAGTTATTTTTCACTCAGAATTCTGTTATTTTCTTATGAATATTTTTGTTTAAATAATTACTGATAACAAAGAATACCTGAGAAGATGTATATTAACAATATAAGCATATCTGTATATGCTAGTATAATATAATGCATAATGTAAATAATGATTGTTTATAATCATTATATAAAACTCATTAAAATCAACGAAATGAGACACAATAACGAAGTGATATAGGAGGAAGGGAAGGGAAAGAAGAGTGTGTAGAGGAGGATGGGAAGGGGAAGAAGAGTGTAGACGAGGAAGTGAAGGGGAAGAAGAGTGTGTAGAGGAGGATGGGAAGGGGAAGAACAGTGTAGATGAGGAAGGGAAGGGAAGGGAAGGGAAGGGAAGGGAAGGGAAGGGAAGGGAAGGGAAGGGAAGGGAAGGGGAAGAAGAGTGTACAGGAGGATGGGAAAGGGAAGTAGAGTGTGTAGCGGGGGAAGGGAAGGCGAAGAAGAAGAGTGTCGAGGAAGAAGGGAAGGGGACGAAGAGTGTGTAGAGGAGGAAGGGAAGGTAAAGAAGAGTGGAAAGGAGGAAAGGAAGGGGAAGAAGAGTGTAGAGGAGGAAGGTAAGAGGAAGAAAGGGTGTGCTTATTACTGCAGAAAGATGAACAACAAAGTTTGTTGTTATATAATGGGTGTTGGATGCCTGAGAATGTTCATGGTATTTGTGTCAGATGTTTGTTATAAATTGTGAAATTCCCGTGTAATTTGTAACAATATGAAACTAAATACTTTTTATCCAGTTTTTCCTAACTGCTCGTCTCTCATAGCCCCATTCCACAGTTATGTTAGGTAAGCACTTAGAGAAGCTCTCCCTCCCCATTACATGGTGGGATGGGGAGGTCTTGTGGCCTGGAGCTGGGGTTTCCCAGGGTGGGATGGGGAGGTCTTGTGGCCTCGAGCTGGGGTTTCCCAGGGTGGGATGGGGAGGTCTTGTGGCCTCGAGCTGGGGTTTCCCAGGGTGGGATGGGGAGGGCTTGTGGCCTGGAGTTGGGGTTTCTCAGGGTGGGATGGGGAGGGCTTGTGGCCTGGAGCTGGGGTTTCCCAGGCTGGGATGGGGAGGTCTTGTGGCCTGGAGCTGGGGTTTCCCAGGCTGGGATGGGGAGGTCTTGTGGCCTGGAGCTGGGGTTTCCCAGGCTGGGATGGGGAGGGCTTGTGGCCTGGAGCTGGGGTTTCCCACGGTGGGATGGGTGGCCAAGTCCAGACGTATGCATATTAATACTGAAAAAGCTGCTGTAAAGAATCCAGACAGCAGGATACATTTACAATTTCTTTAACATTATGTAATTGAGTGATGTTGTGGGCAGATAAGCTCTTGATATTTTGAAATATAAATGGAACTCAGCGGCTGGATATTACATATTTAATATCATAAATAACAACGGAATATATTGACATTATTTCTTATAGGTGAGAATAGAAGGTAGGCCTTGAGGAAGGACAAAGAGGGACTAACTGTTAGTGGTGCGCGGGAACAGTCACCATATTGCAGGCAGCCTACAGCCAGAATCTCCCCCTCAAACACCTCCACTGTAGTCCTGTCAAACATTAACATGGAAACTGTATTCAGTACATTGACGTAGAACGAATACAGGAACCTGTACTGATATGACGATGCTTCTGGTGCTGTACCTGAAATACAAAACCGTGATTACAACCCGCAGCATGCTGTTATTTAACAATCTATTCAATAATCCTCATACTTGCGCAAGTCAAAATAATTTTAATAACGACAGTTTAAAACTCATATCATAAACATTTCAGCAACAACTGCGAGAGCTTACCAGTGGTACAAGCTGGTCCATTAAGCTTACCAGTGGTACAAGCGGGTCCATTAAGCTTACCAGTGGTACAAGCTGGTCCATTAAGCTTACCAGTGGTACAAGCGGGTCCATTAAGCTTACCAGTGGTACAAGCTGGTCCATTAAGCTTACCAGTGGTACAAGCGGGTCCATTAAGCTTACCAGTGGTACAAGCTGGTCCATTAAGCTTGCCAGTGGTACAAGCGGGTCCATTAAGCTTACCAGTGGTACAAACGGGCCCATTAAGCTTACCAGTGGTACAAGCTGGTCCATTAAGCTTACCAGTGGTACAAGCGGGTCCATTAAGCTTACCAGTGGTATAAGCGGGTCCATTAAGCTTACCAGTGGTACAAGCTGGTCCATTAAGCTTACCAGTGGTACAAGCGGGTCCATTAAGCTTACCAGTGGTACAAGCTGGTCCATTAAGCTTACCAGTGGTACAAGCGGGTCCATTAAGCTTACCAGTGGTACAAGCTGGTCCATTAAGCTTGCCAGTGGTACAAGCGGGTCCATTAAGCTTACCAGTGGTACAAACGGGCCCATTAAGCTTACCAGTGGTACAAGCTGGTCCATTAAGCTTACCAGTGGTACAAGCGGGTCCATTAAGCTTACCAGTGGTATAAGCGGGTCCATTAAGCTTACCAGTGGTACAAGCTGGTCCATTAAGCTTACCAGTGGTACAAGCGGGTCCATTAAGCTTACCAGTGGTACAAGCTGGTCCATTAAGCTTACCAGTGGTACAAGCGGGTCCATTAAGCTTACCAGTGGTATAAGCGGGTCCATTAAGCTTACCAGTGGTACAAGCTGGTCCATTAAGCTTACCAGTGGTACAAGCGGGTCCATTAAGCTTACCAGTGGTACAAGCGGGTCCATTAAGCTTACCAGTGGTATAAGCGGGTCCATTAAGCTTACCAGTGGTACAAGCTGGTCCATTAAGCTTACCAGTGGTATAAGCGGGTCCATTAAGCTTACCAGTGGTACAAGCGGGTCCATTAAGCTTACCAGTGCTACAAGCGGGTCCATTAAGCTTACCAGTGGTACAAGCTGGTCCATTAAGCTTAGCAGTGGTACAAGCTGGTCCATTAAGCTTACCAGTGATACAAGAGGGTCCATTAAGCTTACCAGTGATACAAGCTGGTCCATTAAGCTTACCAGTGGTACAAGCGGGTCCATTAAGCTTACCAGTGGTATAAGCTGGTCCATTAAGCTTACCAGTGATACAAGCGGGTCCATTAAGCTTACCAGTGGTACAAGCGGGTCCATTAAGCTTACCAGTAGTATAAGCGGGTCCATTAAGCTTACCAGTTGAATAAGCGGGTCCATTAAGCTTACCAGTGGTACAAGCTGGTCCATTAAGCTTACCAGTGGTATAAGTGGGTCCATTAAGCTTACCAGTGGTATAAGTGGGTCCATTAAGCTTACCAGTGATACAAGCGGGTCCATTAAGCTTACCAGTGGTACAAGCGGGTCCATTAAGCTTACCAGTGGTACAAGCTGGTCCATTAAGCTTACCAGTGGTATAAGTGGGTCCATTAAGCTTACCAGTGGTACAAGCGGGTCCATTAAGCTTACCAGTGGTACAAGCGGGTCCATTAAGCTTACCAGTGGTACAAGCGGGTCCATTACACTTGCCAGCAGGAAGACAGAGGAAGGTGGAGCAGGTCTGTTTGAAGTGGTGAGGAGAACAGCCGGTGTTACACTCACCGCTCTCACGGCAGTAGCCTCCAGACGCACAGCCTCGGCTCAGGGCCTGTGTCAACAATTATGTCGGCTGTTACAACAGTCATGTCGACTGTGGTAGCAATCATGGCTGTGGCAAAAGTCAAGTCTGTTTCAACAATCATGTCTTCTGTGGCAACAATCATGTCTTCTGTGGCAACAATCATGTTTGGCAACAATCATGTCATCTGTGGCAACAATCATGTCGTCTGTGGCCATAATCTTGTCATCTGTAGCACCAATCATGTCTGTGGCAACAATAATGTCATCTGTGGACACAATCATGTCTTCTGTGGCAACAATCATGTCTGGCAACAATCATGTCTTCTGTGGCAACAATCATGTCTGGCAACAATCATGTCTTCTGTGGCAACAATCATGTCTTCTGTGGCAACAATCATGTCTGGCAACAATCATGTCGTCTGTGGCAACAATCATCTCCTCTCTTAACCCTAACCTGACAACACGCTGTTATAACACCGACTTGTGTTCTAGATTATTATTGATATTTTATTAATTTTTCCTGGCGATACGAATAAATAACTTTTAAATACAACTAAAGTTTATTGTGTTGAATTTCTCTCATTATTTCTTCTAAATTTTCTAGCAAACAAAGGATGAATCAAATTAAATCAAATGAACGTTATGACTAGTCAGAGGCAGTAAGTCAGGAGCAGTGAGTCAGGAGCAGTGGATCAGGAGCAGTGAGTCAGAAGCAGTGGATCAGGAGCAGTGAGTCAGGAGCAGTATTTCTTCTAAATTTTGTACCAAACAAAGGATGAATCAAATTAAATCAAATGAACGTTATGACTAGTCAGAGGCAGTAAGTCAGGAGCAGTGAGTCAGAAGCAGTGGATCAGGAGCAGTGAGTCAGGAGCAGTGGATCAGGAGCTGTGGGTCAGAAGCAGTGGGTCAGGAGCAGTGGATCAGGAGCAGTGAGTCAGAAGCAGTGGGTCAGGAGCAGTGGGCCAGGAGCAGTGGGTCAGGAGCAGTGGGTCAGGAGCAGTGGGTCAGGAGCAGTGGGTCAGGAGCAGTGGGTCAGGAGCAGTGGGTCAGGAGCAGTGGGTCAGGAGCAGTGGGTCAGGAGCAGTGAGTCAGGAGCAGTGGATCAGGAGCAGTGAGTCAGAAGCAGTGGGTCAGGAGCAGTGGGTCAGGAGCAGTAAGTCAGGAGCTGTGGGTCAGGAGCAGTGAATCAGGATCAGTGAGTCAGGAGCAGTGGATCAGGAGCAGTGAGTCAGGAGCAGTGGATCAGGAAAATTGGGTCAGGAGAAGTGAGTCAGAATCGGTGAGTCAGGATCAGTTTTTAAGATCAGTGAGTCAGGAGTAGTGGGTCAGGAGCAGTGGGTCAGGAGCAGTGAGTCAGGAGCAGTGGATCAGGAGCAGTGAGTCAGAAGCAGTGGGTCAGGAGCAGTGGGTCAGGAGCAGTGGGTCAGGAGCAGTGGGTCAGGGGCAGTGGGTCAGGAGCAGTAGGTCAGGAGCAGTAAGTCAGGAGCTGTGGGTCAGGAGCAGTGAGTCAGGAGCAGTGGATCAGGAGCAGTGAGTCAGAAGCAGTGGGTCAGGAGCAGTGGGTCAGGAGCAGTGGGTCAGGAGCAGTGGGTCAGGAGCAGTGGGTCAGGAGCAGTAAGTCAGGAGCTGTTGGTCAGGAGCAGTGAGTCAGGAGCAGTGGATCAGGAGCAGTGGGTCAGGAGCAGTGAGTCAGGAGCAGTGGATCAGGAGCTGTGGGTCAGGGGCAGTGAGTCTGGAGCTGTGAGTCAGGAGCAGTGGATCAGGAGCAGTGAGTCAGGAGCAGTGGGTCAGGAAAATTGGGTCAGGAGAAGTGAGTCAGAATCGGTGAGTCAGGATCAGTTTTTAAGATCAGTGAGTCAGGAGTAGTGGGTCAGGAGCAGTGGGTTTGGAGCAGTGAGTCAGGAGCAGTGAGTCACGACAATTGGGTCAGAAGCAGTGAGTCACGACAATTGGGTCAGAAGCAGTGAGTCAGGAGCAGTTAGTCAGGAGCAGTGAGTCACAAGCAGTGAGTTACAGGCAGTGAGACACGAGCAGTGTGTTATGAGCAGTAAGTCAGGAGCAGTGGGTCAGGAGCCATGAGTCAGGAGCAGTGAGTCACGAGCAGTGAGTTAGGATCAATGAGTCTGGAGCATTAAGTCTGGAATAGTAAGTCAGGAGCAGTAAGTAAGAACCAGTGAGTCGGGAGCAGTGAGTCAGGAGCAGTGAGTTAGGAACAGTGAGTCAGGGGCAGTGGGTTAGGAGCAGTGAGTCAGGAGCAGTGCGTTAGGAGCAATGGGTCATGAGCAGTGGGTCAGAAGCAGTAAGTCAGGAGCAGTAGGTTAGGAAAAGTGAGTCAAGAGCAGTGACTCAGGAGCAGTGGGTCATAAGCAGTGGGTCAGGAGTGATGAGTCAGGAGCGGTGAATCAGAAGCAGTTTGTCAAGAGCCGTGAGTCTTGAGCACTGAGTCAGAAGCATTGAGTCAGGAGCAGTGAGGCAAGAGCAGTGGGTCAGGAGCAGTAAGTCAGTAGTGAGTCAGAAGCAGTGTGTCAGGAACAGTGAGTCAGGAGCATTACGTCCGGAGCAGTGAGTCAAGTGCAGTGAGTCAGGAGCAGTGGGTCAGGAGCAATGATTCAGTAGCATTGTATCAGGAGCGGGGAATCAGGAGCAGTTAGTCTAGAGGAGTGAGACAGGAACAATGAGTTAGAAGCAGTGAGTCAGGAGCAGTGAATCAGGGGCAGTGTTTCATGAGAAGTGAGTCATTAGCAGTAAGTCAAGAGCAGTAGGTCTGGACCGGTGGGTCATGAGCAGTGAATCATGAGTGGTAAGTAAGGAGCAATGAGTCAGGAGCGGTAGGTTAGGATAAGTGAGTCAGGAGCTCACTTATAAGTGAGTCAGAAACAGTGACTTAGGGGTAGTGAGTCAGAAGCAGCGACTCAGGAGCAGTATGTCAGAAACAGCGGATTAGGAGCACTGAGTCATGAGGATTCAGCCCCAAGCAGTGAGTCAGGCGTAACAGGAAAGGATTAGTGGGTCAAGAACAGTCAGTCAGGTTCTGTGAGTCAGCAGTAAGTCAGGAGCAGTGAGTCAGGAGAAGAGGTTCAGGAGCAGTGAGACAGAAACACTGAGTCAGGAGCAGTGAGACAGAAGCACTGAGTCAGGAGCAGTGAGACAGAAGCACTGAGTCAGGAGCAGTGAGACAGAAGCACTGAGTCAGGAGCAGTGAGTCAGAAGTAGGTCAGACGAAATGAATCAGGAGCAGAGAGTCAGGAGCAGTGGGTCAGGAGCAGTGGGTCAGGAGCAGTGGGTCAGGAGCAGTGAGTCTGGAGCAGTGAGTCAGAAGCAGTGAGTCAGGAGCCGTGAGGAAGGAACAGTGAGTTAGATTTCAGAGTGGAGTCAATGGATTTGTTAAAGGACAGAGCTAACAAATTGTATAGTTAATTACTTGGCTAATGACACATCTAAGTGTCATTAGCCAGGTAATTAGTTATTGTTGTCCCTCCCCAGTGTTAAAAGCAGAATTAAGAAGCTGAATGCTAAGCTTGCAATTAGGATAGCCAGAGATCCCCGTTACAATGATATTGCTGAGAAAAAAATGAGTTCTGTGCTACTTTCAGGGGGAAACAGGAGAAGCAAACAATGGCATCACGGATCAGTCTGATACCTCGAAGAGCTTCACCTGCTTGAGCCTTAACGTGAGCTCCTTTCTGCAGAGAGGTTCCCTCCCTGGGAGGATGACTCATGCAGGATTATCATCAATGAAATGGCAATGAATAAATCCAACATAATACCACAAGAAATGAGGCACAAGTATCTCGAGGAAATTTATAGAGAAGCCGGAGATGAACTAGATCAAATCTACACTGACGCGTCATCTAATCCTGTCAATGGCTGGGCTGGTGCAGCATACACTGTAATTAAGGATAATGCTTTCCAACGCAGAAATGAAGATAAAACGCTTATTGAGAACTATGCCTCTTCAACGCAAGCAGAGTTAACTGCCATTGTTATGGCGTTAAGGTTTCTTGAACGGAACACTAATGGGGCAGTGATTTGCACTGATTCAAAAGCAGCACTTCAAAGCCTAAGTAAAAATCGGGGAGAAAATCTTGCAATAGTCGCTGAAATTAAGAGAGCTGTGAGAGTACTTACCAATCAGGGAAGAATCATCAAGTTTCTGTGGATCCCCTCCCATGTTGGAATATGTGGGAATGAAGGAGCAGATGTACTGTCTGCTGAAGGCGCTTAAGGAGACCATATTGAATACTTCATACCCAAGACTCTACAACAAATTAGAGGTATTGTCAGGCAACATCACCGTGACAAGATAACTGAGGAAAGGAGGATAAAAGCACAAACCAGTGAATCTGTACGATGGTACAACATGGTTGCAGCTGACAATCCCAATCATTATGGACGAAGAGGAGGACGCGGGAGAGAATCGGTAATAGCGAGAATCCGTCTTGGATACAAATATCCATGGAGATACGGAATGGAAACAACTGTTGATCAGCGAAGTTGCAGAATCTGTGATGAGATTGACGGACTCCGCCTTGACCACTATCTACGTGAATGTGAACACCTAAGAGACATTAGAAGTATGTGTAGAATAATAAACCCCACATTGTTTGAGTTAGGAAAACACTATTTGTCAAATATTGATACTGTTCTTAAAAGATTCCCCCATTTTGCACCCGCAAGATAACGTAAGCTTTTAAGGGTTGACAGATGGTAATCTTCTTGTTTGAGAAGCCAGTTAAGCAAGTCCCAGCTGTGTCTGGGTACAAGTGACAGGATGAACAACCCAGCAGGTTTTCTTCCTTTTGGGGAGTGTTGGACATGCTGCTATGGCGGTATGTCCACTCACAAGATGAGTGGTGCTGCCCAATAAACTCGCCCCTCGGGGCAAAATGTAAAAATTATTATTTTTTTATTTCAGAGTGGACCAGGAGCAGTATGTCAGAAGCAGTGGGTCAGGAGCAGTGAGTCATGAGCATTGTGCAAGAAGCAGTAAGTTAATGGCAGTGAGTCAGGAGTAATATAGTAATATGAAAGGAGCAGTGTGTCAAGAGCAGTCAGCCAGGAACCGTGAGTCAGCAGTTAGTCAGGACCAGTGGGCCAGGAGCATTGACTCAGGAGAAATGGGTCACAAACAGTGAGTCAGAAGCAGTGAGTCAGGAGCAGTGGGTCAGGAGCAGTGAGTCACAAGCAATGGGCGAGGAGTAGTGAGTCATAAACAGTGAGTCAGGAGCAGTTAGACAGGAGTAGTTAGTCAAGAGCACTGTGTCAGGAGCAGTGAGTCAGGAGCAGTGGGTCAGCAGCAG